TATGAGTATGAGTCTTTGCATAAGCTTGCAATGTTGAGATATGAGTTGTCACCAATACTCATACAAATGGCAAAAGTATACACTCACATTGTATTTGACTTATTTCAAAATGAGTTTAAACTTTTCTTAGCTTCATGTATATTGGAGAGAAATGAATCCCACTCTTTATGTCAATATGTCATCACTAGGGTCAATAACGAAGGGTCTTAGAGAGTCTCATTTGATCGTGCTTCAAACTTTATAACTTGTAGTTGTAGAAAGTTTGAAACATTTAGCATACTTTGTTCACATGCATTGAAAGTATTTGAAGCAAATGATGTTAAGGTTATTCCCGAGAAATATATTATAAAAAGATGGACAAAAGAAGCCCGCAATGGCATTATGCATGATGTGAGGGGGAAAGAAGTTGAAGGAGATCCAATATTATCTAGTACAAGGAGATATAAGCAACTTGTATTTAAATTTGTTAGATTGACTGCTGACGTGTCTACATCTGAAGAATATCACAAGATTGTGGATAACAATGTAGGTGTCATGTGTAAGGAGATTCAGGAGTTGCGTTTACAAGCCAAAAGTATTGGTAATCACAACAATGATAATCTCATATTTGTGACTGATGGTGGTAAGCTACCAAAGGGATTCAAACATAAACATGACTTAAAGAGAAATAAGTGATTAAAAGGTTGGGTTGAGCTTCAATCCAATAGGAAAAAAAAACTTCAAGTAAAGAGTCTCAGATGTGTAAATTGATGCACATATTAATTCTTAATATATTTTTGCTTTATGAGTTCTCACTTGTTTTAATTTTCCATATTGGTTTTAGGATAAAAAATTGAGAAGTCATCAACCCAACATGGTATCTTGTTCAACACCACCAACTTTTAAGCTCCCTTCCATATTAGAAAATCAATTTAGCTTTACTGAATTTTTGATGGTAATATCATTTGTCTTTATATTTTTTTTATCTTGCAATTCTTTTGCTTACTTATAAACATGTTAATTAATTTTTGTTATTGTGCAGGCACCTCTTGATGATATAAACAGTCAATCATTACATGACATGTCTCCAATCCTTGATTAAGATTCAATGAAAACAAGTTAGTTGACAGTGATATTATAATTAGTTGTTACTGTATGTTTGGTGTATTTTGATATCATTGATACGAGTATTATAATTAATTACTGTTGTATTTTTCTTGGGTATATTTTGATACCATTAAAGTCAATGCAACCATACAATTTACTTTTAAGAACTGCTTGAACAATTAACATTGGTGTTGCCCTTGTTGTTGTTATAATGTTATTAGTAGCAATGTTTTAGCTTAATTCATTTGTAGATTAATTTTGCAAAATGCTTATTGTATAATATTAATTAGATAAATGTTTTCTGCATAATTTATTTGCTCATGAGTCTACATAAACATTGTTGGATGCTTAATTAATTTTTCTGCATATATAACTGTTTGGAGAAATTAGGAATGATAAATTTTTTTGTTTAACTAAGTATGTATTTAATCAAATACTACTATGTATTCCTCTCAATTAGGCATGCAATCTAACTCGCCCCCGTGGGTACCCGTCCCGATTTGGACGGGAAAAACCCGTGTTTATCGGGTTCGGGTTTTCCCCGATTGATAAAATCGGGGGCGGAGGCGGGGACGGGGATGTTAATACCACCCCGCCTTCGGCCCCATACCCGCCTCCACTCCCGCCCCGTTTAATAATATAATTAAAAAATTATTTTTATATATATAAACCAAAATTAGAAATATTTATATGTAAAAATTTATATTATTTTACTTTTCTTTTATTTTTTAAAATTGTTCATATTTATTTAAAAGAAAAAAAAGAAAAAAAAAGAAAAAAAAATAGGAGCAGGGGCGGGGGCGAGGCGGGGAAACCCAAACCCCGCCAGGAGCAAGGATGGGGACCCAGATTTTATCCCCGGCAGGTATCGGGGGCGGGGGCAGGGGTGGTTTAAATTTGTGAGGACGGGGGCGGGGAACGTAAAACTCACCCCCGCCCCACCCCATTGCCATGCCTACTCTCAATTGGTGTAATTTTAGATGAATAGTTTTTAGTTGAATTAGGTATGCATAATTTATTTTTTCTACTGATATGATTATTCAATTTTTGGTTCTTTATTTTTATTTTTATTTAGATTTTAGATTTGTTATTTTGATAAAAAAAATTATTTCATTATAATATATACATACAGTTTTATTTTATTTTTTCTACTGATATGATTATTCAATTTTTGGTTCTTTATTTTTATTTTTATTTAGATTTTAGATTTGTTATTTTGATAAAAAAAATTATTTCATTATAATATATACATACAGTTTTATTTTATTTTTTATATATATTATATTAAAATATGAGTTAATTTATTAGGCACTATAAAAAAATAAATGAAAAATAAAAAATTTTAATGTATAATTTTTTATAATTCATTTTAATGTATAATTTTTAAAAAAGACACTGAAATTAACGTATAATTTGTTATCGTTTATTTTTCTCATATTTGAAATTTGAAAATTTGTGGTTTTGTTTTGTGACAGTAAAAGTGTAATAAATGTAATAATTCATGTTATTGAATTTCAAGCCAAAAAATCTGACAAATCAAGAGACAAAATTTAAATTAAAAAAAAAAAGAAGAAAAAAGAGTTAAGATCTTCTGAATATGTAATAAATGTTATTTATGCTCATATGTTTATTATTTCTGATTACGTGTAAAAATTTTGTATTTTTATAATCAAAACTTTCGCGCCAGATCGAGGGTGGATTAAGGGCTTCTTGTCAGGGTGGAGGAGGAGATCTTGGTCCTTGCACGTGCCCTCTTGGTTCTTGTCATCATTATTTGATAATCATTTTTTTAAATTGTAATAAAAAATTAATATATAATTCTTAATCCAACACAATTACATTTTTTTTTTCTCGTTTACTCAAAACATGCATTAAGAAGTAGAAGTAATTTTGTTTCGAAACATTCAAACGTCAATTTTTCCGCTAAATAATGTTTTCTTCTATTCTTCCTTCAAATTAACGTCATTCTAAAGTGTTTTAATATTTTTTTATAAGGGTCAAAATTAGTCGTGATCTGTGGGCCAGTCCGTTGGCCGTTAAAATTTGACAATCCGGACTTATCATTCCAATTCATGAAGCTTGTCCCGTTATGCCTGCCAATCTGTGAGACAATTATTCTGCAATTCTTCTGTTAGCCTGCATTTAGGTGAAACGAATCAATATTTTATAACTACAACTCTTTTTAAAAAAAGAATAATTAAAATTTTAAAATATTTTGAATTTTTTAATTTTACATCTATAATATTTAATTTAATATTTTTTTTATACATTTTTTTTTAATTTTTACATACATTCCCTTATCTTTTCTTCATTACACTTATTTTGGTAAGAAAAAATGTGTCTAATTAAGTAAAAATTGTTAAGAAAGTCACACATACCTACAATATTATCGTACTAGTTTTACTGTCTGAGTATATATGAAAAAGTGAAAGAAATTAAGGAAGAAAAAAATAATATAAAAATTGAGAAAGTTAAAACTTAAAATTACCTATTAAAATAGGTAATAAATTAAAGAAAGACGAAATGATACATGAAAAAATTAAAAAAGAAAAAAAAAGTATAAAATTAGAAATTTTTTAAAAAAGAAACTACAAATATTTTATAATTTAAAAAAAAATAAAGAAGGTGTACTTATTAAAAAAAAAAAAATTGTATATATCATCAACCTATTTTCAATTCACTCTTTAAAGGCAGATCCACCCGACCCAACTCATTTTTAATGAACCATTGATAGGTCGTACCAAGACGGGCCGAGGTAGTGCGCTTTATCACCCCTAGGTATTCTCCATACATTGATTCGTGGAGTGTT